TTGTGTATATACGATAGTTGTATTATCATATATACATAGTATATTATTTATGTTTGTTTTATTAACTGATATCTATCAAAGAGACAATCAATGTACTATATAAAAAAAAGAAGCAAACCAATCAAGTTTTGACTCGCTCAGTTTATTTTAAAAAACCACGAATCGATCCAATCTCTAATCTTTGTTTTCTTTCATTCTCTTGTAAACATATCAGCGGATAGGGTTATTATAGGTGTTAACGCTCTATTCGTTCGATAAGTATCGATTTATATTATTCATTAAAGAAAAAAATACGAATATAATACTGTTCTTTGTCTTTCTTTTTGAGATAATGTAAACCCTCAGTTATTGTGCTTTTGTTAACAAAAATGAAGTGTAAACATATATGTTGCTCGTGTAAGCAAAATGGTACTTCTTCAGATTACGTACATCCCCTCACCCTCACACAGTGCTATGCCAGCCCATGAGTGCAGATGGTGTGCATAATCTGAAGAACCGTGCATGTTAATTACATTCATAACTTATCACTTGGATGAATATCAATAAGAAATAAGTTATCTGTTAAAAGTAATTACCTGATAATAGCAAGCATCGAAATCAGTTTACAAATTAGAAATTCCTATATTGATGGACGAAAATACTTTGCTTAAAGAAAAAATCACATAAATAAAAGGATATTGAATCTGTACGTTAGACATACATTAAACTTTCCCAAAAGTACGCTAATTGGCTTATCAAAATGACTAATTCGTATAAATTGACGACAGATGTCGGTAGCGAAAAGGATTGTCGAATTTAGTCATATTGAAGTAAAGAATTTAAATATAAATGATAAAATAATCTGTAGATATTTATATACTTATGAGAGACTTTAAGAACTGTATTCGAAAAATACAAATTCATGAAATCTTCTTTAGAAAAATAAATTTTGATATTACATTTTCCTTCTCGTTCTCTCTATTTGTCCTTTCTTGCGTTCATCTTTCTCCTATATAAGCTTATGTTTAATCTATAACAGATACATTCTGAAGATACGAAGTAACTCAATAAACAGCAAATCGACTTTAAACTCATTTTAAATCACGAAAACTCATTGTAACTCAGAAAATTCATTTTAACTCAGAAAATTCATTTTAACTCAGAAAATTCACATACACTCATTTTCAATTATAAAACTCAAGTAAATTCATTTTAAATCACAAACTCACAATTTGCTTTTTTCCCCTTGGGTTAAGATATACAAGTTGAAAGACATGACATAATTAGATGGTTGCAGTATTAAGTTGTTGCAAGCCTGACAGAACAAAAATGTTACAAAACACTAGTGAACGTATTCTACAGAGTGGCTTAGGTTCAACAGGATATGAGAATGTTTCAGTATACTCTTCCTTTTAACAACGGTCCAAGGCTGAACAAGCGGACTTCTGTACTTCCGAAGTACGAAAGTACGAAAAAGTACAGAGAAGTACCAAGAAGTACGCACTTTCTTCCTCGATTTTCTCCCAAGATAGAACAAAAGTGTTCTGTTATTGGGAAATATTAAAAATTCTGTTCCCAAGAAAACAGAAAAAAAAAATGTTCTGTTTTTTGGGAACAGAATTTTTGATATTTGTCAAGAAGTACAAAGAAGTACAAAGAAGTACAGAAGTCCGCTTGTTCTCCCTTGCAACGGTCTCAAGTTATTATATTATTCTTCATCTCAGTCGTATCCGCTGCCGCTCCGAAAAAAAGAAAGAAACAAGCTGATGTCGATGATAAGTAACTTAACTATATATCGGCAATAGTACGTATATATCACTTACACTAGTCAATTAGTAATGGTCTGTTTCTTGTCTTTTAAAACCACCTGTAAAATGTTTGGAAAATAGAAGACAGCTACGTATTACTTCTCAATCAGAGAGAAATTCAACTGGCTCCTAAAATTGAATAGAGTAGCATTCTGAAAGGAGACAGCAACTCCATTGTTGTAGCTAATTGTTGCTTTTACAATTTTTTCAAAAGAACAATGATTATTCAAAACCCAAACAACTTTTCCATGAATATTAAGACGAAGAACCAAAAACTAATATACACAGTTTGAAGCTCGTTATATACGTTCAAGCGATTTAATACTCAAGTTTCCATATTTCAAGTCTGGGAAAAATTACATTCAATTGACAAACAGTTTATTGCAGGAATATCCACTATTAGGAGATACAAGATAAAATAGACTCATTCAAAATTTTCATGCTTTTCATAAAAAATTGATTTTGTAACCGTTCATGTCTGGTAGCTGGACTTCTGATGACCAGAGTTGCAACCGGTCGGAAATATTCGAACCGGTCCGATTCGGCCGGTTTCAAAAGTTTTTCAGACCAGTAAATACAGGCAAAAAGCCGGTCGGCTCCAAACGTTTTTTCAGACCGGTAAAAATCGGCCGGCTTGCCAAATCATTTTTAATCGGTTCAAGAAAATGGTTTTAAAACCATTCAGTTTCCTTTTTTGCTTCTATTTTAGGAAGCTTTAAGAGAAAATATCATGTCATAGTCGTTTATGTTTTTAAGATTTCTCAGATATGAATGCGTGATGTTTCTCTGGCGCAAAAAAAGAGTCAATTTACCCGACAACTGATTTCTAAATTACGAATCTTGAATTTTTTCACCTAAATTTTACTAAAAAACCTTATGCTTCTCTCAGAACGACAGTTCAAACTCAAATCTAGTCACTAACAAACATCAGCCAGATAAATTGAGAAGTTCATCTCAATTAACATAGTTTTTTTGATTGTGCTTTTCACAAAGCGAAATACAGTTCGATTAAAAAATACAAAAAGGTACAGACGAACAGAAGAAGATAAAATTGATAATTCTGAATAATACTATTTGATTATTTTGATAAATGCATTTAAACTTGCTTTCGACGTGTTTTATCAAAGAAAAATGGCATATCTAAAAAAAGAAATTCTAAACCGGTGAAAACCGACACAGATCGGCCAGTCTGACCATCTCAACCGATCCAGTCGGACCGGTTCCAATTCTGCTGATGACTACCGTATACTTGAATAAAATTTTGAAAAAAGTCGATTAATTTCAAAGTAATCTTTCATAACTTTTCTCCTTCATTTTCATTAATATGAATAAAATTTATTTATTTCAAACGTAATTTTTGTTTGATTAATTTATGAAAGAAAAAAGAAACTTTTCCTAACTTAAATTAAATTATCAATTACTTTTTTTTCTTTGAATAATATAACAAAATTAAGTTTTTCTTTTAAAATCAAAAACGACATTATTTGAGTTCTTTTTTATGAAGAAATATCTTTAGTTAGTGAAAAATATTGATGTCTTATATTTACAATCAACAATCGTAATTGAACTGTTACGATTTGCAAACAGTAGATATCGGATGTCGCAAAAATTTAGCAAAAAATTGTTTTTATTCAGCTTACAAGACCAAATCTTGATAACTTTTTTCTAAATGTTACAAGGAAAAATCAAAAAGTGCATTCTGTGATTTACAACTGACGTCATTTCTAATCAAATTAATGTTAGATTAAATGTACTATTCGAGGTATTGTAAAAAAATCACAACGTTCATTACTCCCGCAATATGTTCGACATGATAAATGTTGATTTTTCCTCAGCATATTGTCATCATCTTCTGTTAAAGTTAATTTCTCATTGTATAATATTCTCAAGTTGAATTCTTTTTTATCATTTGTTTCAACAGTCGAGTAAGTTCAATCCAGCGATTTGTGCATGGAACTCACTGTTTTTAGACGATATAATTGAGAACAATACAACAAAACCCATCATATTTCAGAGTGAACCATCTGAATCAATTGACGCTGATGTTATTGTTCAGTTGCATTTGAGATGAGGATGAGTGATAATTCTCATGCTTTGAGGGCTAAACTAGTTTTCTCATCGGTTCAAATCATCGTAATATTGTCCAGCATGGATAACATTTTTCTCATCCATACGACAATTGAAGCTAACCGATATCCGACAGATACTTTCACAGTCATAGTACAGTTTTCAAACTATTACTTTGTATGAAAAAATATACCGTTTAGTTCTTTCCATAAGCAGGAACAAAAAAAAGCAAGTGAATTACGATTCATTTGGTGTGTTTCTGCTTCCAAAATCTAAGCTATTTTCCTAAGTGTATGTTTGCTTGGTGTTGATGACACTGAAATGGTACGTGATGTTGGTGTCAAACATCATTATTTTGGATACATACATCAATGCTTTTTCCATTACGATATTACATGATCACATTTTTGATAGTTTATTTTCCTCGACATATATTCAATTATTTCTATTGCTTTGACACGTTGTCAAATACCATGAATTGCTTGATTATGATCGAACCCATTTTCATTTCTCTGCTTCCAAATAACAGTTTGAAAAAGTAAAAATATTTGGAGATATCAAGAGCTCATCTCAATTCTTAACTTGACCTGATTGTAGTACACTAAGCTAAAATGAAATGAACAATAGTTATCAAAACCAAAATTTAACAATTTTTGACTTTGTCTTTTTTTTCCTTGTGGAAAATAACATGAAGATACATTTGTTTAAGGTTAGCAATCTATCAAAATTTCGAAAATTGCTATAACGATTTCGTCTTGTGAGCTGAGTAAGAAATTCAGTGGGAAAACTTTAAAAAGAAAGAAAAATGTTTTACCATGTTCCTAAATAAAGTTACATGCAAAATAACTAATATCGCAAATATTTTGCCACACTCAGTATAATTCTTTGGGATAAAAAAACATCATTATATTTTCGTCGTAAATAAAATCTTGTTTGCTTCTGATTATTTGATAGTTTGTAACAGAAAGAAAATTAACCATTGCATTATATCTGACATCTATACCACTATGATTATCTATTGGATATAAAGCTCATTATTGACGCGAACGAACGAACAATGCCTTTGTTCAAAAGAAAGAAAGGATTTTTGTCTATTGACAATTGAAACTCTAACACTCTATTAATCTCGTTCTTTACAATCTTACTATGTTTACTTCAATTAATCGTACTATATTCGAGATTCCATTAACTTGGGATCGAACACGTTTTGAAGCATCACGTAATAAATGTCGACAAGCTCGAAAATTAGTGGAGATTAGTATTAATGGTAATGTAGAAAAGAAGCGATCATTACTTTTTGTAATAATCAAATAAAAACAACTCTATTTATTGATTTAGCTCAATATAATAAACAACTTCGAGAAGTTTTTTTTCACAAACTTGATATTGAAAAAAATATTACTGAAAGTCAAGAACGTTTGATTAATCATGAAAAAAAAATGCATGCACTTGAGAATTTAACTGATGTTGCATCAGAATCATTGACTGATTATTTTGATAAGGTAATCTTTTTTTTTACCATATGTTAAAATTTTCCAATATATCTTTACATGATAGCGTATGGAACATGTTCGTACTGCCATACAAGAACATTGTAATGCTATTCAACAAATTCTTTGTGAAGAAAACGAACATTGGAAAGAAATCCATAATGCTATAGATCAGTATGTTTCAATACTTATTGAAAAATTTCTTAATAGAAAAAAAACACTTATATTTGTTATAGAAATCTAATTACATCGGATGATATTCATCGATGTAATAATATTGATCAAGAGATTCCATTAACAAATATTCATACTATTAATGAAGTAGATGAAGAAGAAGAACGTACATCAAGATTATTAGTAAGTCATTTCGAATGAATAAAAAATGATTCATTTTTCGTTACTATTTTTTTTTTTATAGAATAATAAAACAGTTACACCATTATTAACACAAATGATTCGAAGTATGTAAATAAAAATTGATTAGTTTTTTGTTTAGTTCTATATTTTTATAGAATCTCGATTACAATCCAATCGTCGTTCAACAATCGAACCTAATATTCATATGTCAACTGAAAAATTAATTCCAAGCAAAAAAGAACGATTTAGTGTTATGTTAGCAATAACTTCAGCTCGTCGAACACTTCCAGTTATTGATACAACATTTGTTGTTAAAGTTGAAGAATCAAATATTATAGAAATAAATGAATCACATGATTATGAAGTTCTATCGAATGAATCACATCACGATGAAGTTGTAAAAAATGAATCTCATCATGATGACATTGTTACAAATGAATCACATCATGATGAAGTTATACCAATTGAATCTGTACCTACAACAGATGTTGAAATAACACCAAGTTATTCACAACCAAAACCACCAGCTCAATTATATTTTTCACCAACACTTCTTCAAGATCATGACGAACCAGAACCAATTCAAACTGTTCTTTCTAATATTGATCAAAATCAAACAAGTAAGAGGAAAAAAAGTCTTGTCAACGCAGTTTCTACAAAGATAAAATGTGAGACTTAGAAGTGTTGTTTAGTCTCGTTATACCAATACAAAATATGTCGAATGAAAGATCTCTATTTGATTATTTGCCTTGTTGCTTTTCATTTTCATATTTCGTTTGGTTAATTTGACATTATTATTCAAACTACTAATTTACAAAAAAATGGAGGAGTACTCCTGTCTTTGATCTACCGAGTAACATTTTCAATAGTCGGCTATTTTTTTCTATAACTCTGACTACCTGTAGTTTCGAACAGAAGATCAACCTGACGCAGATTTCTTATGATCAATAGCTTAAACTTCTCATAAACATTAATTAACCACAAGAATAGGTATGTGTCACAACTTAGCATTGTATCGGACCGGTGATCACGTATGATACATATACTGAGGTGTTTAATCTGACGAATGAAAAAAATCGGAGTTTCTGTACATAGATTTAAGAGTCTTTATATTCATTTGATGACATAACGGTGCAGGTTGCAGTTTTTTTTGGAACCGTCGTACTGTATCCGAGAGAAATGGTCGTTAGTGACTTGTTCAGCATCTTTTCACGGCTCGTCGTATCGAGATTTGCACATAATGCTTTATCTGTACGTGCCAAACAATATAACCACTCAGCCGTAGTAGCTAACCATTGATTTAAATGGCAAATAAATCTGTCGTACATATCTATTATATCTAAAGGAAAGCTCAGGGCCCTACTAAAATGATATCGACTATATACAAGAGTTATAATTTAATCAGTTTACGCTTTATATATTGATCATATGACGATTGTGGTAAAGCTAAATATTACTACCCATCATCCTTGACATCTTAAATATAAATTTTTATCTGCTCAAAAACTGTACTCAGCGCTTTTTTTATCGTTAAGGAACTCTAAAAAAAAGGAGTCTGTTGTCCTCGGTTGATATGAAAACCGATCGAATAGGTTTTAGTCTTCAGCCCCGCATTGTAACGGAGGCAGAATCCACAAAACCTAAATAATATAAATTATATCAAAAAAAGAAAATAATATTCTAAATTATTTTATCATATAGATTTCGAAAAACCCAAACTTGTACCTCGTCGATTTGGTCAAACATTTTTACTTGATAACATTAAAACCGAAGAAATCAGTACAAATGAAGATAGAGAAAATTTCCGACCAAAAATATCTGATGAAATACCAATGATTATTCCTTCGAATCCATCAATATTAACACAAAAAGAATCTTCTCATGTCGAAAATTCTGAACAACAGTAAAACTGATTCAATTATTGGTTTTTTTCAAATAAAAAAAAAATTTTTTTGTCTTTAGAAAACCAATTGTTTCTTCAAAACGACCAGTACGTGCTAAACGTGCAAAAATTGAAATAGAACCAGTTCATTTAACACGTCGTACAACAAAAAAACAAACACAAATCAATACAAATCAACGTCAAACTCGAAAACGTAAACAATCAATATCTGATGATGGAAATAATAATACCGTTGTTTCACGTAAGAAAAAACCTGTCGCACCTCCAGCGAAAACTACTGCAAGAAAAACAAGAGTTAAAAAAATAAAAGGTTTATTTTTATGAATATTAATTATTTCAAAAAAAAAAAACGACATGCATTTTTATTTATTCAGAAGTTCCTGCTCGTGAACCATCACCATTACCTACCATCGATCGATCAAAACATTATTCTACTCGTTTTTCAACACGTAAAATTTCAAGAAAAAAAATTTTTTTTTGAAAGTATTTCAATGCTAATATTTTCTAGGTTCTCATCGATTAAATAATATCACTCTATCGACGACAACGATCAATGTTGATGATGATAATAATAAATCAAAACATTCATCAGCTCGACTTCGTACCAAATCCATGGGACGAACTCGTAATCACGATGACGATAGAGATGATCAACCAATTGTAAAAAAACGTTTAACTGTAAATAAAAATCAAACAAAACAACGTGCTAAATCAATGATGGTTACAAGAAATCGAAGAAAATAAATATTTGTATATGTTTTTGAATTTTGTACATAAAGCATGTAGAGTCTGTGTATTTTGTTTGAAAATAAACATTATCAATCAATAAATGTTCTTTAATCCCATTTTCTTTTCTACGTGTCTCGTGAAAAATCATTTTCATTGTCACAGAAATTTCTTTTTGTACATTTGTCGACATTGATGCAACAGAATGGGTAGTGACAATAGCAAAACATCAGTAGATTATTATCCAAGGACTGTACCTAAATCAATATTAAAGAAACAAACTGCATATCCAGGTACTCATATGCCTGACAAGACTGGTTATCCTCAATATCCTGATAATTATCATAAACCATACAATGGAAATTATACTCAAGCACAAAGTAAACATGTAAGTATTTATTATTAATGATTATTTTCTACTAACCAGAATAATATAACATTTTTTTTTTCTGTATTTCAGCATGTACCTGAAGACTCTTTATCATCTCATCGTCATCATTCACGGCATCAACATCATCATCGTCATCATCATCACCATCGTCCACAGCATTTTGAACGAGAGACTCAAACAACTCCTTCGATATTGTTTAGAACTGATAATCCAGTTCAAAAACCAATTTCAATTACAAATGATGGACGTTCCACTCCTGTTCTTCTTCAAGAAAACTCGAGTTCGAACTTACTTGATGGACTTTCTACTCCGCCTTTACTTGACGAAAGTTCGAGTTCCAGTTCACTTGACAAACATTCAACTTCTCCAATTAAAAAATCTCCACGTATCATTTCACCTCATAAATCTACATCTCCTGCTGTAGTCAAACAACTCTCGTCTTCTCATGTAAATAAAAAACATTAATCTTCATTTTCAATTATTGTTGGTATACCAACAGACACTTAATAGAAATGAAAAATCATCGATATAGTGCTGTAAGGAACATTATCATGACTTTAAAAGATAACATGATAAGGATTAATAAAACATAATTGTATAATTTATTTGTAAATATTTTGAACTTAATTATTTGAGAATACTTTTTTTTTTTATAAGAAAAAATCTTCCCAACAAAAAGACAATTAAAATCATTATAATAAAAAACTTTCAAAAGAAAGGTTTTTCTTCATTTATTGAACTTATATTTATACTGTGAAAAGTATATTTTATATTTTTTCCAGTAATATTTCTCAAATATAAGTTATCAATTATGTTAACAATACAGTTTTCACCTATTTGGTAGTACTGATAACATATTTGAGAGTGTATATCGTCTCTAAATCTAAATCGAATATAATCGAAAACCTATCCTCTATATTTTCATAAATATTAAATTTAAACAAGTTTGCCTATAAAATATAAATTAATTGAAGTATTGATCTTTTTATAACAGGTGAACACTTCCCTCACAACTAATTTTTATAAGCAATAGCTTATTCATCAAATAAAAGTTGAAATTACGACAGAAAGAACAAGTGAATCATTCGAAAATGTAAAATACACAAAATACTTTTTTTCTTTTTGTAATTTCTCACCGATATTTTCCTTCTTTTTTTTGTATCAATTGATTGATATATTCAATAAATTTTGCATGAAAGAAATAGATTAATAATTTATACACTATTGTCGTTCACAAAAAAAACAATTGTCTTGACTGGTTTTTTTTGAATAACCTTTGACAAGAACAATATAAAGGTCTGAAATTATCACTATTTAAAAGAGAAGATCCTAAGTCATCTACTTATACCGAAATCTGAATGATCAATAACTGCTTTATCGAACAAATTCTCAGAAGAAATTTTGAAAAATATGTTCTGAAACCATTTTCCATTAGATTTTGACATGGAGGATAACCAATCGATAGGGAAAATCGTTCTTTTTAGATCTACATAAATATCAGCTTTCTAGTATGTTCCATTCAAGATTTATAATGGTTTTTCTGAGACTATCGATTTCAGCAAATCGATCGTGGAAGAGTTCAAAAAAAAATGAAGACATAGCTAATTCATCATCTTGAGTTAAATGGTAATATCTGTTTCCAATTTCAAAACGATCTGAAAACACTGCGTCAAAATTTTCCTCTGCACAGCATAACCATCGAAGTTTTAAAAAACCTTGAAAAAGCAGTCTCAAATCACTTTGAAACTGGAAATGCACATCACCATTGAGCTCAGCATGGTCAGTTGCTTCTATTCTGAGCTCTGCTGGAGTCTTCCTAGATGAATTGGCTGAAATGAATTTTTCAGTAAAAACCTTCTTACTCTTACATTGAACATACTAAACAGTTGGAGTTTGCGTAGATCGAAAAGAAAGATTGATTCTATCGATCGGTCATATTCCAAGTCAAAATTTAATAGGAAACATGTTCAGAGTGCCTTTTTTTTCAAAATTTTTTACAGAGAACTCTATTATTAGTTGTTTATCAATCAGATTTCGGCGTTTGTAGATGGCTCAGTGTCCTCTCTTCTCAATAGTGAAAACTCCAGATCTCTATGTTATTCCTACCAAAAATTATTCAAGAAACAATGATGGTCATTACTTTTTGATAATGACAATAGTATAGGTTTCTCTTTTTTCTCAAATTCAATTTATCGCAATACAAAGATATAGACTCTTAGATTTTCGAAATATTTGAGATCTCATAATCACATAGTTTCCTTTGATTTTTTATCGATATTCATGTTTCAAGTATATATATTATAACTAATTGAAAAGAAAATCAACAGTATATAGAAATTTCATAAAATATGTAATTTTTGTGTATTGTATGTAAGAAAAAGAATGGTGTAGAGAAGTAGTATTGTTAGTAAAGCGACATATTTTAATCCCATATAGACAATGCGTTGTTTTAAATTGTATGGATGTTAACTTTTGCATTTGCACATTGTCTTGACAAACATTTTTAAAAAAATGGGTAATAATAGCAGTACTCCAGTAGAAAAAAATCGAAAGACTACAGTAGAAAAAAAACCAAGGACTACAGTCAAACCAGCACATCAACGAATACCTGTTCGAGGTTCTGTTTATCGCGGTTATCAACCTTCTGTGGAATTCATGAAAGGAAGATCTACAAAACAAAATTCCGTAGTAGACAATAACAGAGACAACAACAATTCTCCAACGCCATCAGAACATGTAAGTTGTATATTACTAATTATTCATCTACAATGACTATAATGACATTAATCACATCATACATTTCAGCAATTACCTGAAACACCTACTCTATCTTCTAAAAAAAATCCTTTTTCATATGACGATCACACTAAATCAACAACATCAACTAAAGAACAATCATCTTCTGTTTTCGTTAAAAATACTTCAAATGAGAAACCTCTATCTCCTTCTTCAATACAACCAAAAGTATCTTCACAAGCAGAACAAGTTTATGTACCACCACCAAGTATTTCCAATAATGTTTCATTTCCTCATACAGCTGCTGCCGATAGTTTTGAGAAAGCTCCAATGGTTCAATTGAATTATGTTGTAAAACCATCTGAAAAAAATTCGAAACATATTTATGAATTAGGTAATATAACTGTTGTGCGTCGAACATCATCACAGGCAATGCCATATGGCGGTAGATGGTATGATAAAGATTATAATACAAATATTCAACCACCTGTCGTCAAACACTTTTAATTCATCGAATAATATCAATTAGGTAAAAGGAAGAGTATTAGAAACTTATTATATACAAAAAAAAAGTTTTCTTCTATTTTAAGAATATATGTATATAATGTATGAAGTCATATGCATTTTATTACTATGGCTGATTCTATTGTTAATAAAATAAAATAAAATTTGAAAGGAAAAAATACATTTTATCTCAAACTTTGATATATGTTTTTCAGTAGATGAATATATCAATCAACACTCTCCAAAATTAAAATGTATAAAATAAATCACAAAAAAAACAATCTGTTGGTTTGTTCGATGATCTTCACGCGGCACTATTGAAACCGAAGAATTATCTGAACTCGTTTCATATTCTGATTCCTAATAATATTTTATAATGCACTTTTTCAGTCTCTAAAGCAGTTATCTTGAAGCATCGGTTCACATATTTTGGTGACCAGCCTCAAAATGTCTTCAGACGAGACTAAATATCACAAAGTGACTTGATGAAACTAGATAGATTCGTGTTTCTTATTTTTCGAAAATATTTAATTCTATAACTCCCCATTAGTGTATTATTCTGGTTTCAATTGGCTACTTGAGTTATTTCGATGAAGATAATATAATAACAAGTTCTAGCATGAAATAGCAAATTAAAACCAGCAAACAATCCTCATGAAAAATTTTTCATACAAGAGAGGTGTGAATTAATAATGCAATATTTTTGATCATATTAATGCTGTTTCACATAATCGCAAAGAAATGTAATCATCGTATAAAAAACAACGTAGGAATAGACATATAACGAAGCAAAGAAGGGAAATGTAAGGAATAAGTTATAGTTTTAATAACAGGCAAAAGACTTTTACACTTGAAGATCAATTTTTGCAGCAATACGAACGCAAAATTTACTATTGAGTTGTTGTAAATCTAAAAAAATCTTTCGATCAGTCAACGTAAGTTTCACAATACTAATTGACATTTAGTTGAAGCATTTGTTGGCTGAAGTCGAATAATAAGACGATGTATCAATATTTCATGTTCCAAATGTAACCACCAGACAAGCAACTTTGACCTTTGCTGTTATACAGATTGAATATTATGTGAACAGATTAGGGTGGGCTAAAATTTTAAAATTTGGCTTGGTCTGCCAAACCGGCAGCTCTAATGAGAACATCAGATTCGGAAATTATTTCAACTTTAACTTGTGCTTGACTAGTGCTGGCTAACTCAAGTTAGAATGTACTTATCTTCTTCATGACAGTGCGCATTATGACATGAGCTATGGCAGTTAAAATAATTGATAAAATTGATTTATGCACATGTAAACAAACAATTACTTTTCAATAATAATCATACTATTATTTAAGATAAATACGAAGATCACGTTGTTTTGTAATTTCCAAACATTAATTATGCAGCAATATTATTCAGTTTCATTTTTAAGATCATATCGCCATCAAGTTTTTTTGTTTAACTTATCACTAAAAGCAAATTACTACTAATTACTGTATTCGATATGCACCATACACTAAGCGAATAAATGTAAAAAGAAGAAATCAACAAGGGTATATATTTTTTTCATGTCTTCATTTATACAAAGATAATGAATTTGATTTCGATAATACTAAATAATTGTAATATTGTCATAAAATTGTATAGAGATTCATATGCATTTCAGATTGTTCATTTATTCAACTAGTATTAACCAACAAAAAGAATATTTTGGTTTTGAAGCCAAAATTATGTGCATCATATACGCTCTAATGAACTCTGAATACCTTGAAAAGAGTTTTAGCCATGACCTTACTGCTGTAGGGATACTGCTTTTTTAAAGTATTTTTTCAAATCAAAGCTTTCAGATGATTAAAGCCTGTTGGATTCAAGATTTTCTGACCTGGACTCGACCTGATCTAAGACCAATCCGACCAGCACTACTGGTGAGATTATTCTTATGCAAGTTGGAATTCTTCTTTCATTTAAATTGTTTGTTAGAATGAAATATAATGAGTCTCTTCTTATGAATATAAAACAGAATTTATTTGAAATAATGAAATTTACATTGAAAATGATCAAGAAATCAATAGATGATCTTTTTTTTTATAAGCTGTCAAAATAAAATATACGTTTATCATCATTCATATGAATATGTCACGTTCTGTTTGTTTTTCTTCATCATTCAATAAACAGATTTGTATGAATACTTTCATTCATAACTATTTGATTACTACTTAGATCATGATTGTTATTTGATTCATAAAATGAGCATTCAAGGCTTTCATTTTTATTTCAATCATTAAATTAAATTAACAAATTTTGTCTTCGAATCTGTTTGAATTTTACCTAAAATTTACAGTTGCATTATGTATTTCTAAAATTTTATAGAAATTCTATTCAAATCTTTGTCTTTATTATTATTATTATTATTATTATTATTATAGAACAAGAAAAATGGAAAAGAAATAATTTTGGTTTTTTTTTTCGATCGCACAAACAGATACAGAAAAGAACAATGGTAGACGAATAACGCCAAAAGAAAAATATGAAATAATAAAGATGAATGAATGATTGACACACAATAAGCACGTATAAATTCAGAACTTCAAAATTTTCTGTGGTTTTTTTTTTGTTGTATATGTAGGATTACAATTTGATAATAAGTATCTACAGTAAAGAAAAAAAAAACAAAACAAATCAAAATTAGTTAAAAGGATAACAAAGCAATAGAATGACTATAAGAAACGTTTGTCTGTAATAATTATTCATCAGTTTTATTTGCCATCATTTGTTCCCATTTTTGTGACATATCCGATTTTTTTGTCGGACGCACTAGTGGTGCATGAGCTTTCTAGAAAGAGAAAAGAAAGCATAGAGTCTTTAAAAGCAAAATCAATTAAACATGTTTGATTTACTTCATTTTCTGATCGTTTTAATCGTTCAATTTTATCAGAATAACGTTCTTGATCTTCGTCATGTTCTTCTTGTGATACATTGCCTGAATCACCATTGATTGTTGTATTGGTTGATGATGTACTAGCACTAATTGAGTTACGTTGTTTTCTAAAAATAAAATTATAAGGTTTAGATTATTATTGATTGAAGTGTTCGGTAAATTGAAACCAGTTAGCGGGTAGTTGCGGACCAGAATAGAAAATCTACTCGTAAGTTAGTGCAGCACTATCAAGAGCAAGTGATCTGTTCGCAAAAAAAAAGGACAAGATAAAAGAAATCTTGTCTACCTTGAAGTCTGACGAGTGAATGTGTTCAACTAACCAAATGCTTTCTCACAAAATGCAACTAGGTTATGAGTTATTGACCCAGTTGATTCATACTATGACCATGAAAAATTTTCTTAGGTCTTTATATGTTAATTTTCTAGACTGACAGATATTTTACCAAAACTGTTTCGAATCTTCTTTAAATATAGTGTATATCGACTTGTCTATAAATCAATAACCTTTCCTATTTTTCAGAAAGAAGTTTTAAGTAAAATAATATTTTCTTGAAGATTTTCATAGTGAAATATTATTATGTATCTACTGTATGAATTCAAATGGTTGTATTTTCTGGAAATAGTTTGAAAGAAAAAAAAATTTAGTCTTTTATAAACCATGCTATATGTTCTATAATCTGAATAGATAAAAAGACAAGCATTTTGGCGAAAAGTTTTCTGTCGATAACCTGCAACTAACTAGTTTTCGGTGAGACAGTGATTGATCGATTGAAAATATTCCCTTAGGAGTGAATTGTCAATAAACAGATGATGATTTATTTCATATTTTTATCGGTCGAGGAAATGTATAGTATTGTTTTGCTGGTTCCAGGAAAAGTTTTATAGTATGCACATCTCCTGTCGTAATAAATTTTTGACTTTAAAGTCAGTCTACAATATAATAAGGTTTTCTTCATGGAAGAAAATATTCTGATGAAGAATAATACTCTGGAAACGATCAATCAATTCATCACCGTAAACAAACATCGACGTATATAAACATATAATGGCTTCCAAAACTATTCGGCTAGGTTGATTTTTTAAATATCCTTTCCTATCGAAAAGGTTCTTAAGAATCAAAACAGCAATTGGAATAGGAGTTTTAGTCTTACAAGAGTCTTCGAAGATGCAAATGATTGCTAGTTTTCTAATGATAAGGTCTCTAGGAACCCAAGTTCTTCAGCTTTCAAAATCTCGTTTGAATTACCTTGAATGATAGAGCAGACAATTCTCTATACAATGAAATGTCTTCTAGCTCTCTGCAACGTTCTTTTTGCCTTCTATACATCAATCGTACGGAGGGTATAAAAGTCGTTTTTTTTCTGCTATTTGGTATAGAAACGTTATTTTTCGTGTCATTTGTAATATTAATATATCTTGGTCAAAAAACTTCATAAAGAGCTAAGAGACATTTCGTTTTGAATCACTACTGGATTCTTATTTGAGTTGATGCTAGTGAAAAAAATCAAAAATAAATCTGATCGAATAATTTTGGAAGACATTGTTTATATGCATCATTAAAGCTGAGAAGGCAGCATGACATTCTTTTGTTTTTTTAACCTCTGGGCATTTTAAATCGATGATGCATCTCTTTTCCGTTGTTTGAACTAGATGAGCTTTCTGAAACCCTCTCATATACCATATTTGATCCGCAATCAATTGGCTTCTCTAGATGATTTCTATTCGAGTCTCCCGTCACAACAAGGTCATTGAAAAAAATCAATTCCAATCATGCGCATAGATCAATATTATTCTTAAAGGGTTTTTATTCGTGAAGCAAAATATTCTTAGATAAAAAAAAAAGAATATTAATATGGGCTGATATAGTTTTAAAAACTAGAATTTTGTCAACTAATCGAATATTGATTATATTTATAAATAGAAAAGTAACAATTTGAAATTTACCTTAATTCTTGTTCTCGTTCTTGACATTGACGTTTTTCTAATTCAAGTCGATCAGTTGATGATAATTTTGAATAGTCAGTTGATTTATTTGATGAACTAACAATCGGTGCTGTGGGATTCGGATTTG